CTTTCTTCAGCTTACTGTTCAGTGTAACATTCTCATTGAAGCTGCTCTGATCACTCCTTTTAAAATTATATCCCACCTGCATTTCTGATCCCCTACACCTTGCTTTTTTCCCCTCACGGAATTTATCATATTCTAACAAACTATATAATTTGGTTATTTATTGTGCTCATCGTCTCTCTTCCTCCCACTAGACCGTGTGCTCATGAAGACGGAGACTATGCTAGCTCTCTTTGCTGATATCGTACCTGTGCCCAGAGCAGGGCTGGCACACAGCAGACCCTCAGTAAATATTTGTTCAATGAATGAATGACCCTTACTTGCATTTTCCCCTTTCTTTGAAGCTTCAATTCTTTTGCTAACACAAAGGGGAGAATATTTGGAGAAGGACTGAAGAGAGACCGAGATATAGATGACGGTTAAGTCTCTGAATAATGAGCTATTAGCTAGTCTGATCATAATTATCTATACAAAAGGAAGATGTATTATAGAAAATCCTAAAATACAGATAGTCCAATAAATATTTCTATTTTGATGGCATTCTATGATGTTATGGTGGACTCTTTCCTAATTATATTTTTCTTAAGGTATTAGCTGTATGTGTGAGTGTGTGTGTAAACACAAATACACATGTACCAGATATAGTGAAGGGGAATTGGAAAATCACCCCAAAATAATCCACAAACTGAGTATTTTCATTACCTCAAGTACTTAATACATTTCATGCAGGAGACGTGCTAGGTATTGTGTTCAAAGACTGCCCTATGGAGCCTATCTTCTAAGAGTTTCAGGAAACTTACAAACAGCTCACTGAAAGTTGACCAGACCCCGAGCTGTCCCAACATGTGGGTTGTGGGCATTGTGGTTGGCTGGTTGTCTCCTAGACTTCCAACCCAACATTGCTGTGTAGCAGCTAGGCTGCTGAGTGAGACTGGTCCCACTCCAAGTTGGTCGCAGTGCTGTTAAGGGAGAGGCACAAAAAACCATGGGAGTTCAGAATGAAGCTCAGACTTTTTCCACGGTTGCAGGGAGAGATTCTCTCTCTCCCCATGATGTGAAATAAAAAGGTGGCAGCCTTCTTGCTAAAATGAAAGAGGCTAGTTTGAGGACAAGGCAAACAGACAAAAGAGGGCAGAGCTAAGAGAATCAGAGAAGTAGAGCCATAGCCCTAGTGACTTTGTGAACCTCTAGATCAAACCCCACCTGATGCCTGCCCCACTTCTGGACTTCACCTATATCCAAGGCAATAAATCCAGTAAGCCAGTATAAGCTGGGGTGTCTTTTACTTACAACAAAAGGCATCCTGATATAGTTCTCTTTGATTTCTTTCAGGCCCTCCCCTCTGCTTCTCACTGGTCCTGTGTGTGTCCTGGTGCAACATGTGGGCTCTCTATGCTGTCAGTGTTACATGCATGTGTACACAGATACGTTTCAAATCCTAAGGCAATGAATTGTTTTTGGTTCACATACATCTGATGCTCCATTTCTCTGACATTAATGAATATGAGAGAGTGCCTCACCATTAAGTTTAAAAGGATAAAAAGCAGTAGAGGGGCTTCTCAGACCTGTATCCTACTGCTCAAGTTTTATTCCTGAGTTCTGCTGCTGAACACACTTTTTAGTGCCAACTTGAATCCCCAGAGAACTCCGAGGCCCAACTGGTTCTCCTGACGGCATCTCCTAGCTGCAGCCTGAGACCAGAGGGCAGCACTAGCCAGGGGACAGCCAGCCCGGAAAGACAGCGTGTGAAGAAACTCTCCAGTAGGCCGTTCCTTATTTATTAGATTCCAGATACATGGGACCAGGGCGGAAGAATCCTAGGGGGTTTGACTTACATAGGGGTCTTGGGGAGAACATACAGAAGTGGAAATACGTACAGGAGGATGAGGCAATGTGGGACTACGGTTTTAAAAAATAAACACATCTTAAGAAGCCATTCCAGCCATATTATTATTAGAAAATAGAACAATCTTGCCACATAGTGCTTTTCTTTGGTGCTGTTCCGTGGGCATGGGCCCCTCTGTCACAAGTTGTCACCACTTCCCCCATCACCCCCCTCCCCGACTCCTCCCATCTGCCCAGGGGGAGGGGTGAGTCTAGAGGAAGAGTGGCCCCGGACAGCGGTGGGTGCAGCTTCTGGCTTCTCTAAGGCCCTGCTATGGCCTCCCAACCAACACCCTGCTCTGGTCTGGAGAGCTTCCTGCCTGGTTCTTAAATTATGACCTTGGAAATGAAGTTTCCTGTGTGCAAAAACTGGGAGCCACTGTCAAGGTTCACGTGGGACAAAAGCAGTCTGGAAGCTTTAGAAAAGGTGGGGACACAGGGACCAAACAAAACCCAGCCAACACCACCTTCTCCTTGCTTGGATTTGTACATTTTATTTCTTGGTTCATGTCAATGACCTGTATCATGAAAGTACAACCGAGAAGGGCTATTTCCTTAACAGATTTTCCAGGAACAGCAGATTTGGGGTAAACGTGAGTTCCCTTCTGTTGGGGCCAGGGTGTCCTAAACACTCATCACTTCACCATCCCCCACTAAGTCAGGGCCACCCTCTTCCCAGGAGGCTCCCAAGCTGGCTAGGCTTCCAACAACCAAGTGGGCCCCCCCACTTCTTCTCTGAATGTCAACGATCCATCAAGTGCACGAGGGCATTCCCACTGGATGGAGCTCCCCTCGTCACTGACACATTTCCCGTTGCCATTGGAGTTTTTAAGTGTAAAAGCAGCAGCTTCATCCACCTCATTGGCACCAAGCCACCAGGACCACTGCCCCCTCTTCTGCTCGACAGGGGCTCTGATGCCAGGGCACTTGCAGGAGCCCTAGATCCAGCGAGGCAAAGCTGCCCTGTGTGCAGAACACCTGCCCGCTTCAAACCAGGTGTTCACGGTCAGCTGGAGCTGTTCCTCCTAAAGACTAGATGGCAGGTGTGCACAAGCCCTGGCCGTGGCTGGCGGCTTGGTGCTCATGGTTGAGCAGGAGGTGACACTGCAGAGGACGGGGTGCCGGGGTAGAGAGATGCACCCTCTGCCCCACCTCCTCAAGCACACGGCACAGAGGCTAGCAGAGGCTCCCACAGAGCAGACCCCATGCTCCCTCCCAGGGAAGCCTCTCCAGTTCACACCTGAGGGCGCGGCCCCAGTGGTTAAGTTAGACTTTAGTTTTCGCCTCGGTGCTGTGATGCTGAGAAGGTGCTTGTGCATCCACCCAGATGGCGCACTGCACAGGGAGGTAGGGACAGAGCATCCTGGATCAGATAGAAATTCCAACGCTGTCAAGCGACTGTGGCCTCGGATTCCCCACAGGCAAGAGAGGGGAGGGGTGCACACGTTACTGGTCTGGGGGGTCTCTTGGGACATTTGACACTTTCTATGTGAGGACAGCGGAGACCCACTCCGCAGCTACTGTCTCTCTGCCAACCCTCCTGCCTGGGGTGACCTCGGCATGTCCTAGAGAGGGAGTTCAGGAGGAGCAGTGTCGGGGGTGGAGAGGCAGCAAGGTGGAACCAGCATCAGCTGCTTTCCTTGGAAACGCCACGAGGCCATGGGAGAGGGGGCCCCTGGCCTTCTGGGGTGCTGGTGCCCAATGGGCAGGTCTACCTGCCTCCCCAGGTCACGGGAGGTTGGGTTAGAATTGGTGTGGATCCCCCAGAAGAGTGTCCCAGGCGGGCTCGCTCTGATCCTCACTTTGGAAGACAGCTTCTTGGAAAGGGCATTTCCCATCACACTTGACACCCCTTCACTCTCGAGAGGTCTCTAAGCTGCCCTCAGCCAACCTGTGAGCACCATTCGGGGTGTGCAGGGCTGCCCCCTGAGGGAGTATAACGGACTTTCACGGCTACTACAGAAACTGGGTGGCCAACTGTCCCCATTTGCCCGGGACAGAAGGGTTTCCTGGGATATAGGACTTCCACTGCTAAAACCAGGGAAGTCTGGGCAAACTGGGGTGGCTGGTCACCCTACATAGCAGCCAGGGTGACTGGGGGGAGAAGGGGTCCCCACCAGAGAGCCAGGCCCTCTCAGTGCACCCAGGGAGCTACATCACGCCTCCTTATTCCAAGGGTGGTGGGAGCACCCCCTTCTGTGGCCCTTGGCTATGCAGGGGAGGAGGCGTCCTGGTGTCCATTGCCCCTGGAAGCCAGGAGGGATCAGGCAGGCTGGCAACCTCTGCTCAGCTCCTTATCTTCAGGGTTCCCCTGCCTGCTGATCTCTGCTTCTGGGCCTTTCTGTGCTCAGCAAAGGTTGGTTCGGGCCTCTCCCCAACCTGCCCCAATCCTCCCAGGACTGCCAGCCCAGAATCAGGGTGCCCAGGGGGCCCTTGGGTGAGGCCAGGCCCCTGCACAGCTCCTAATTCCCATAGGCCCACCTGCTCTGGACCTGCCCTGAAGGCTGACGGGGGAGGGGGAGGAGCAAGCAGAAGGGGGAGCTCCCGGGAGTGTTGTGTGGACCCTGCTCTTCTCTGAGCCAGCACCGTCCCCAGCTACGGGCCCTGATGTCATCTCTGCTGGCTGAACCCACTGTCTGAGTGAGCTCTGAGGTAGGGGCAGGAAGTAGCAGGGGGGACTCCTGGGGGTGGAGGACAGGCAGGCCCTGGAACAGTGTGACAGGCAGCTGGGAGTACACCGAGTAGGGTGCCCAGGAAAATGCGTGAGCCGTGGCAGCTACTCTCCTGATGGTGAGTCCTGGCTAGGAGCTGACTGTCTGCTGAGCTGAGCACAAGGATGGAGGGAGGGAGCCGTCTGGACTGTGGAAGGTGTAGGGTCTCCTGAGGGGCTCCAAAGAACATCCGAGTAGGTAGGGAACAAAGTGCCTGCCCTCTAGTAAACGAAAACCTCCAGGTGGTACCCAACCTGAGTGTGCAGGAGTCCTGGGCGCTGAGCATTGCCCACCCAGGCCATTGGTGGGGAGGACAGGGTGGGGGTGGGGTTAGGAAATGTACACACTGCCTCCTGGTGGTTTGGTGGGGAGAGGGGTGCTTCCTCAGTGGTCTCCAGTCTTGGGGAGTCAGCTCTGGCCAGGCCTCAGCACTGCCCATGGAGAAGGAAAAACATACCAAAGAAAAAGCCAGTTACAGATGAGCCCATGCCCTGCCCTCCCATCCCCGTTCCCCCGCCCCATGGCACCCAGGACTCTGCACACAGATGGGAGGCGAGAAACCCCTTTCTCTGGGACTGCTCATGGCCATGATACAGGGCTCGCAGGGCGAGGCTGGTGGCTGTGGAGATCTCCGCGTCGCTCTGTCCATTTGTGTGTCTGTCCGCGGGCGGGAGTCGGTCCACGTGCGGGCCATCAGACCTTGGCCTCCAGCATCTCCAGGAAGAGTTTGTGCATGGGCACCTTGCCCTGCAGTTTGACGCTGTAGAAGTGCTGCACGGCTTTGGCGGCCGTCTGCCGCAGCAGGGGCAGCGTCAGCAGCAGCTTGCCCGTCCTCCGTGGCTCCTCGTGGCGCTGGCTCAGCTCGTAGTCCTGCAGCGCCTCGTGCAGCAGGTCCTGCAGCTTCTGGACTGCCTCCAGATCCTCGATGTACATGGAATCTGTGGGGACAAGGGTGAGCATCAGTGGGCGTGGTCGGAGAGTGCTGCCCTGGGGGGTGGGCACCCCGGTCCCTTGGGACTCTGCTTTGGAGCCTCACAAATCCTCACTTTATAGAGAGGGAAACCGAGGCTCAGAGAGGTTAAGCTGTTAAGCTGTCAGTCTGAGGTCACAGAGACCAATGACAGAGCTGGGGCTCAGACCCAGGGAGCTATCTCTATCTATGGAGGACACTTGTTGAGAAACCACCAACAGGTGGCAGCGGAGAGCCTGAGGGGCTTGAACATGAGCAGACCTGTCATTGCCCTGAAGGTGCCAGGTGGACTCGAGCCACACTGGTGGAGCTGGAATCCTGCGTCCCTCACTTGCTAGCTGTGTGACTTTAAGCAAGTTATTTAATTTCTCTGTGCCTCATTTTCTCCATTTGTGAAATGAGATAATAGCCATATCTTACCTCAAGAGGTTAAAGGAGTTAATACAAGTCAAGTGCTTAAAACTACTTATTACAAAGTAAGTGCCCAGCTAGTGGTATCACCACCATCACCATCATCACCACCACCACCATCATCATCATCACCATCATCACCATCATCATCACTGTCACCATCATTGTTACCATCATAACCATCACCATGATCATCACCACCACCATCACCATCATCATCATCATCATCATCACCATCACCACCATCCCCACCACCACCACCATCATCATCATCATCACTACTAGTGTTGCTGCCGCTGCTGCCAGGCACCAGCTCAAGTCTTCAGCACAATTTCTAACCTTACAAAATGCCGGTTACAGAACAGAGACACAGATAAAGGGGCTGAGCTCTGTGTCTGGGTGCCCTGTGGTGGGGGATGTAGGGGAGCTGAGATAGCATGGCTGGATGCATAGGCACAGTGATGGAGGATGCTGTCGGGAGTTCTCTAAAATCCTGGGAGGGCTTTGGACTCAGGCCATGAATTGGGGATTCAAACAAAATTTATCTAAATCCCAGCATGGCAGGGAGGCCCCCACTGACAGCTGGGTTACGGCTGGGTCTGAGCTGAAGCAAAGGGATATTCCTGGAACGCACTTCCTGGCCGCGGGGTAAATACCCAACCTTCTTCTGACGTTCCTGAAAGATCCTCAGCCACCACCCTGAAGTGTAGCGCCCCAAGCCCAGCAAGGGGGGGAGGGTAAGGGCACGTGTGAGTCAAGTGAGCTCAAAGTGCTGGGTGGGTCGCCAAGGAAGCCTGGGCGAGCTTTCTAAATTCCTCCAAAGAGCAGGGCAATTCCTTTGCATGCTGGGTTGGTTTAGATACCAGACTGCCAAGGGCAGCTGTACCAACTGGCTGACCCAGTGTCTCCCTCCCGTCCACTCAATTCAGGCCATGCCTCCAAGGGTCCTGCCTCTTTCTCTTGGGAGGACAGCAGTAGGATGAGGTAGATAAGACTCTGGAGTCTCAGATGCTGTGTGACTTTGGCCAAGTTACTTAGGCTCTCTGAGATTACTTCCCCATCTGTAAAATGAAGCAAATAAGAGCGCATACCTCATAGGGGGGTGGTGAGGGTTAAATGAAATAGCACATTACCAGGCACTTAGTAAACACTTAATAAATGCTATTATTATCATTATTGTGAGGACTCAGCCTGCGGGCGAGTGTCCTTGGAGGGCTGGGGTGTTATTGGCCCCGTACTCAAGACTCTTCCACGTTTTTCTGCTCCTTGTTACCAAGGCAGGGAGGACTCCTTTGCCAGTTGGAGATGAAGCATGACTCCATTCCTACATCTCAGCTGTTTACAGAGCGGGCACCCAAGATGCGCTGGTCCCTGTAAGGCTGGGACTTGGCCCTGCAGACTCCCTGCCTCCTGCCAGCTGCCTCTCTCCTACCCCCACTCCCCAAGGAGGCCAAAATTGGCAGCTGCCTTCGACCAAAAATGAAATAAAATAACATCGCAAGATTAATTTCTTTGCAATCCATCAGCACGTCTGTATCGATGGCATTGATAAACTGTTAATTACAAAATCAATGGCTATGAATTTTTTCTGCTGTCAGGGAGTCTTGGAGATGGCCAGGACGCAGGGTGAAAGACAGCCAGCAGACTCCTGAGGGGCCGTGGTTTGGGGCCACAGCCTATCTCTGATGTGTTTCACTCTTCTGCCTAGTGTCAGCGCCCTGAGCCACCTCTGAGTGGTCTTGTCCCGTCCACTCAACCTCAGCAGTGGCACCCACGGTGGCCCTTGCAGCTGCCACCAGGACCACTCCAATGACCTCCTGGCCCCTGTCTCTCCTCCAGCCAACTGTCCGTCTGGGTGACTTTCCCACCTTGCTGTGGAGGACGGGCTACTACTTTACAACCTTCATGGTTCTCTATATTGACCCTATTACAACCCAATCCTTTCACAGCCCTGGAGCCTCTGGTCTGACCCCAAACTGCTTTTCTAGTCTAATGCCCAAACAGGCCTGTTCTTTCCCCGTGTCCTGCTCAGAGCTGATTGCTCCACTATGCAGCAGGGCCTTGAGTGTCACAAACTCCTTCTCCACCTTGAGCTTCCTGGACCTGCACATAAGCTGCAGGATGGCCCGGTAAATGCCACTGGAGTGAGAAGCCCATTTCCTGGAACTTCGTCTCACATGACAAAGTGTGTAACTCAGGCAAAGCTGGATGCTAGCTGAAGCTCCTGATGGGCTCATGTTACCATACACCGCCGGTCCTCAGGTAGTGTGTGCGTATGTGTATACACGTGTGTATGTGTGTATGCACGTGTGTGTATATGTGTGCATGTCTGTATGTGTTGAGATCAAGGCGCGAGCAGCCAGCTGAGCTGACGAGCCATCTGAGAGCCCCTGCAGCCTGGCGTTGAGCTGCAAGGCCAGCTCTTCACTCTCCTCTCCCGCCAGGGGCCGGCTCGACCTCTAGGTCTGGTTTGAAGTGGTCAAGAGAGTCCGAAATCGAGGACGTGCCCTCCAGCGCCTTGCTGCCTCTCACTGTGCTCTCCTGTGTCCGCTTTCCCCGTGTCCATCTCCTCCTCTGCCCACCCAAACCCCCAGCCCCCCTGCAGTGGCTGGTTAAGATGCTTCCCTGTGAACAGGTGAGCACAGGGCATCGTGAGGCTGGCGAAATTACTGTGTTATATGCACTGATGGAGATCTGTCATTACGCATTTATCCAAACCTATAGGACCGTACAACACAGAGTACAGCCTGATGGCAACTATGGACTTCTGTTAATAATAATGTATCAATATTGGCTCATTAACTGTAACAAATTACCACACTAATGCAAGATGTTAATAATAGGGAAACTGTGTACAGGGGGTGGGGGCGGGGGTGGGATGGTATGTGGAACGCTGTGTACTATCTGCTCGATTATTCTGTCAATCTAAACTGTACCTTAAGAAAACACAACAGCGTTAGCATTCTCAAACAAAGAATACATTACAATTTTGGAATCTTAAGGTGTAAATGGTCTCTATAGAAGCATGTAAAATTTTAATTATTATTTTGCATAGTTTATTAATAAAAGAGATTTGAACTAAAAAAAAATGCTTCCTTCTCTGAATAGATCTTCAACTTACGATGGGGTTACGTCCTGATAAACCCATTTAAGTTGAAAATATCATAAGTTGAAAATACATTTAATATACCTAACCTACTGAACATCATAGCTTAGCTGAGCCTACCTTAAACGTGCTCAGAACACCTCCATTAACCAAAGTTGGGCAAAATCGTCTTACGCAGAGCCTATTTTATAATAAAGTGTCAATGATCTCATGTAATTTATTGAATACTGTACTGAAAGTGAACAACAGAACGGTTGTAAGTGTATCAGCCATTTACCCTCGTGATCGCGTGGCTGACGGGGAGCTGCGGCTCGCTGCCACCGCCCAGCATCACGAGACAGTATTGTACCACATGTTGCCGGCCCAGGACAAGAGCACAATTCAAAATTCAAGGTATGGTTTCTACTGAATGCATATCACTTTCACACCATCATAAAGCCAGAAAATCGTAAGTTGAACTGTGGTAACTCAGGGACTGTCTATATTAGGCTAGGTTCTCCGGGGAGCAGAGCCTGAGGCAGGGGTTCAGGTACCTGGGATTTATGGAGGGCATACTTTCAGGAGACAGGAAGAGAGGGAGGCAGGATAGAGCGAGGGTGGGAGCAAGCAAGGGAAGGATGCAGCCTCGGTGCACAGCTCAGATCCCACCTCGCCAGGAGTCCAGCCTTTTGTTCCCCTGTGTGAATCTGCCATTGGCTCAAGATGTCAAGGTATATAACCCTCCAGCCAAGGCAGGTGAGGGTAGGTCTCTGGTGGGGGAGCAGCTGTGAGCTGCTAGCAGCAAAACTCAGCAGCTGGGGCACGGGTGCACTAACCCAATAAAGGGGTCTGAGCGGCACATCAACAGCACCCCCTGCATTCTCAATGAGGCCACTGGTTAGGGGGACATACTGTCTTGGTTTGCCAGGGACTGAGGTTTCCTGGGACATGGGACTTTCAGTAAAAGCGTGACAGTATCAAGCAAACCGGCTGGTTACCCTGTTTGTACCATCACCATCTGGGAAGCAGCTCTCTCCCTTCCGTATGCTAACAACACTTTGTTTCCTCTAATGTTAATAATAATGATAACAATTAATATTTATTGAACATTTTCTCTAAGCCAGGCACTGGGCTAAGTCCTCTATCTTCAACTGATCATTTAATACAAAAGTGCTGGGAGGAGGTACCTGGATGTCCCCACTTTACACACAAGGACAGAGCGAAGGAAGGCTGCCAACTTGCCCAAGGTCACTCTGCTACCAGTGCCAGAGCTAAAACTTGACCTTGGATCCATCTGACCTAGACTTGAGCAGGGAACTCTACACAGGCCGCCCCGCAGCAGAATTACGTGTGTGCGGGCTGACTCTCTCCTAAGGAGAGGGACCCCACCTTCCTCCTCCTTCCGCATTCCCCACCCTCCACCCCGGCACCAGCATGGACCCTGCACAGGGTGGACTCTCTCTAAGCGTGGGCACAGAGTACATTCAAGCTCACTCACCCGCATTACCAGTGCCAGCCCCTCTCCCCAGATAACCTGGCCAGAAGTTGGCGGGACTGAAGAAACAGAGCGAGGCCTCCTTTTTAACGCCAGACTAAATAACTCAGTTGGGAAGGTTTTCTCTCTTGTGCCTGAGCAATGTGATTGGGAGATTCAAGAAGTCAGTATAAGCTAGAGTTGATTCTAGAATTAGAGGCCGTTGGTTTGAGTCCTAGCTCTGTGTGACCCCAGGCAATCTGCTTCACCTTTCGAAGCCTCAGTTTCCACATCTGTAAAATGGGGTTAAAATAGTAAGAACTTTGCTCACAGGATTGTTTGTAAGGATTAACTAAGTTCATAGCTAATTCATTTAACAAGTCGTGCACTTGATACATGCCAGGCATGTTGTAAGCTAATATAATCACATATAAACACATCCCTTCCAGTCTTGTGGGATAGAGACTGTATTGTTCCCATTTTGCTGATGAAGAAACTGAGGCCCAGAGTGAAGCAACTTGCCCAAGTGGTAGAAGCAGGATTTGACTCTTAACAACCTGGCTCTAGAATCTGCGTCCCTAGCCAGTGTGCTGGTCTGGATCTCAGGGCTCAGCACAGTGCCCTGCAAATCAAGGGTTTAGGAAATACCTGACCACCGCTGGCCTGCATCGCCGTATTTTTAACTCCAGGCCACTCTTTGCACAATCTTGGTAACAAGCATATTCAGCATCTTCACATCATCCTGCCCCTTGCAGTGGCTCCGCTCACGGGCCCCAGAGCTGTGCTCCCCAGGCCCACAAAGACCTTTCGAAGCTCCCCACAGCAGGCCCCACATCCACCCTTACCTGAGTTGGCCAGGGCCAGGGCCTTGAGCGTCACGAACTCCTCCTTCTCCACCTTGAGCTTTTTGTACCTGCGCACCAGCTGCAGGATGGCCCGGTAGAGCTCCAGCAGGCCCGCAAGGCGGGAGTGCTCCTCGTCCATGATGTAGTCCTCGGCATATACCAGCTTGTCATCATAGGGCAGCGAACGGTACACGATGCCCAGGATGAGGATCTCCATCCAGGCACTCTGCAGCAGGCTCATCTGGTCCCCCAAGGAGAGGTTTGAGAAGCCTGCGGGAAGAGGGGGCAGGGGGGCAGCAGGGGTCAGGTCGTTGGGCCAGGGGCTTCCCTGGGGGGGTAGTGGGGGGCGGTGGAGGGGGTCCCAGGCACCTCTGGATCCTGCCCCTCTTTCTGTACCTGCTGGACTCACTGTCCTCCCCTTGGTGAATGAGTCAGACATGGAATTCGTGGAAAAGACTTACATAACAAGAGCTCAGTCAATGTTGACAGTTGTTATTATCATTATCATCATTAGTTCTATGGTATTTCTCAAATGTCTGGAGAGGCTTTTGATTAATTAAATGCATTTGTAATTCAAGGAGTTATTGAATTCATCGCAGAATCAGTAGGTGGCAGCACAGGGTCCCCTCCAATCTGGGGAGTTTCCAGGGGCCCCTCTCTGCTCACACCAGGGGAGGTTTTGGTGTTTTAAAGTGACACCTGATCCAGAGGCTCAGCTGCATCCCAGAGACCCAGGGGCCCAACCAGGAACGAGGACTCAGCTGTTCCCAGCCTCAGAAGGCCCCAGTGAGCACAGCCCGGGGCTGCTAAGAGCTTGGGAGCCCCCAGGGTCAAGGGGCACTTTCTCACAGGGCCGCCCGTCCTCTCAGGGGTCAGATCCCTGCTGCCTGGCCATCACTCTAACGATGACCCAACAGTCCTGTATCCAGTGAGCTTGGAATCATGGGAGTTTCCCCTCTCTGCTAGCAAGGAGGCTGACTCCACAGTGGAATAAGATCGGGGGTGGGGACAGCTCCAGAATTGTGACACTGTCTTGTCCAATGTGCTCTGGAGACTGCTTGGGCTTGAATCCTGACTCCCATTTACTAGCTGTAGTCTGATCTTGTGAAAGCTGTGCAATCTCTCCAAACCTCAGCTTCCTCATCTCTGAAATGGGTACAACAATAGTGCCTGCCTCCGAGAGTCGCCATGAAGTCTAAATGAGACAATGATTACAGAACATACAACACATTTGTGGAGCTCTTACTACTATTACTAACGATGAGATGCAAGTCTCCATCTGCAAAATGAGAATAATAGATTGGAATCGCATTATATATGCACTTAACTTAGGCAAAGTCAATTAACATCTTGATTTCAGAGAGAGAGGAAAAAAAAGAAGGAACGAAGGAGAAAGAAAGGGAGAGAGTAGGGAGGGAAGCAGTGAGGGAGAGGGAGGCAAGGAGGGAGGAAGAATGTTGCTTTTCAATTATCTTGGTCACTAAGAACAAGACGGTAACTTCAACCAGAAACTCAGTGACTGGTTCCAACACTGACCATGTCAGATTCACTGAAAGAAGGAAAAGCATCCACAAAGCCATCAGCACCACGTGTCACAGGCAACTGAAATTAAGGGATCCAGGGCTAATTCTGCTTACGTAGGACCCTATACTTCATTAGCTGACCTAGAACCTAACCCCACGCAGAGGCAGCGTCGTGATGCGGGTGCTGTAAGGATGAAGAGATGGTGCGTGGAAAGCACTTAGCACCACTCCCGTACACAGTCGGCGCTCAGCAAACCTGAGCTGGGGGGTGGTGACGGTTGTAGTTGTTGTTACTATTACTGTTGTTGTTGTTGTTATTAGCATGCTATTGGCATGACTCTTCTCGCCAGGGACTGGAGGCCTGGGGTGGTCGCGAGGTTCTGGACTGGCCCTTCGCTCTGGGTTTCCCTGGAGTCTATCTCACCCTCATCTCCTGTTCTTTGTCTCTAAAATCCACTGTCCCTCCCATTTTCCAACCAGCACAGGAGTGTTCAACTTGAGGGGGCACTGCCGGGGCTGACGGCCCCTTCACTCGGCAGGCTGCCCTTTCCCCGTGAGCACCCTCTTAGTCTGAGCATCGCAGTTTGCCGGCCCGATCTGTATAACCCAGGCCTTGGATCACCACCTGGCCGCTGGCCTCCGTGGGTGACCGACAAAGAGCTGGAGTGATTACACTGACTGACAAGGGGCAAGCCTGCATGGACGTGCCTTCTCAGGGGAGAGGCTGTGGCACAGAGGGGTCAGGTGCATGTGGGTTGCTGTCCGGATCCCGGTGTGGGAGAGGGTGTGTGGCTGCCTGTGTGGCGGGGAGAGCTGGGAGGTAATAAAAGATAGATAGAAATGGACATCCAATTTCCCTTATCGGGTCTCTGAGCAGGAGAGGCCCTGGGCGACATTAATTAACAGATACCAATCAGCCGGCACATGAGGGTGGTGTATGTGGAGAAGTGGAGGACTGCATGGGGAGGTCTGAAAGCAGACAGACGAGGAGGGAAGATGTAGGAGGTGGACGGGGCGAAATTAATAGACAATTGAATTGGAAGGTGGCAGAGAGGGAGGGTAAGGTAAGAGCTAGGCTTCTGGAAACGAAGGAGTAAAGACCCTGCGAGGCTAATCACGCAGGTACGACCACTAGAAAAATGAGAGCAGCGTGCTTCTGCCCCTTCACTCATTCCACACATATTTATTGAGCACCTACTAAGTGCCAGGCCCTGTGCAGGCACTGGGGACGGAACGGCGAGCTCACACCAGAACCGGCCCCTGCCTTCAAGAGCTTGCAGTCCAGAGGAAAAGATGCACCCCAAGTACCACATGTCACCATGAAGTCATGACTGTTAAGAGCTACAGCAAGACAGAGGGCTCTGAGAGCACGCAACGGGGCTATTTGGTCCCAATGAGAGAGGCCGCAAGGACCTGCAGAAGAGGAGACTTGGGGGCTGAGCTTGGAGGGGGCGGCGACGGCACCTGACAGCACACGTGGCCGTGCATCTGCAGGCACTGCCACGGCGCCGTGCTGTGTCGAGCTCCCCGGGAGCACGGCCACCGTCATCTTCCCACCTCCACTGCTGAGCACCGGGCCTGGTGCAAAGAAGATGCCCAACCAACATTCCTGGCACAGAGCAGAGAATGACAAATGCCACTGGGCCTCGACTCCTAGGTGACAAGAAAACGTGCCAAAAGAACTTGGTTAACCCTCGTAGTCCTTTAGACACGAGTCAGATCTAGCAGCCTTTGCCTGTGTGTATGGTCAGAGCCAGGCCTGCCTTCTAGGGAGAAGGGCAGGTGGCAGGAGGGAGGGAGACAGCGACTTGGAGAGTTTTGTGCCACCACTGGAAGATGTACCTCTAAGGCCTGTGTCCAAACCTCTCTGCTAGGCTGGTGGACTCAGCCCCTGACTTCTCTCTTCTTCTTTGAGCATCTTCAAAAGGAGCTGGAAATAGCTTTGAAAATCCAAACATAAGGGCCGGCCCTGTGGCTTAGCAGTTAAGTGCAAGCACTCTGCTACTGGCGGCCCGGGTTTGGATCCCGGGCACGCACCGACGCACCGCTTCTCCAGCCACGCTGAGGCCACGTCCCACATACAGCAACTAGAAGGATGTGCAGCTATGACATATAACTATCTACTGGGGCTTTGGGGAAAAACAAAAGAAAATCCAAACATGCACTGCAGAGCGCTGGATAGTGTACAGAAGCTGCTTTGTTTTGTGTAAGGAAGGGGGGAAATATTTGATATTTTCTAATATTTGAAAAAGTGCAAATATTTTCTAACGTTTGAAAATAGAAACACTAGAAGGAAAAATGAGAAATGAAAACTGCTACCTCTAGGAGGAAGGAGGGGGAGGGGACAGGAGGTGACACGTCTGCGTATACATTTTTGTCTTGTTTTGGCTTTTGAACCTGTCCATATTTAAAATGTCCAAAAATAAATTAATTCACACATAAAATAATAGGCATGTTCCCTTCAACCTAGCAATTCCACCACTAGGAATTTCTCCTAGAAAGAAAAGTATGCATAAATACACAAAAATAAATGTGAAAAGGGTGTTTGTTAGATCAGTTTGTAATGAACCAAAGCAGGAAACAGCCTAAATGTAACTAATCTAGTACATGTAATTATTATACAAATATAATAAATGTAATTATTATTTAAATGAACGGCACATTAGAAGCCGCTAGAAAGAACATGGGAGAATTGTTTAAGCAGATGTGGAAAGACACCCAAGAGCTTAAGGAGGAACTAACCATTAAGGGCAGACACCAGAGCCAGAAGATCTGTTAGCATCCTAGCTCTGCTGACCACTGGCTGTGCACGACCCTGGGCAAGTCTACCTCTCTGTGCCTCAGTTTCCTCATGTGTAAAATGGGAATAATAATAGTACTTTCCTCACGGGGTTTGTTTGGATTAAATGAGCTAACGTGTGGAACACTTAAAACACTGCTTAGCACATGGTGAGTGCTACTATTTTATATGATTATATAAAAAGGCAGGGTGTCCAGCAGTGTTATAGTATGATCCCATGGTGGGAGGGAGAAAAGACACACACACACACACACACACACACACACAGTGGTTGTACATGTACAGGACATTCCCAGAAGGACGCCTAAGAAAGATGAGGGATTTGGAACACATCATTTCCACCCCTCTGTCACATCTGACATCTTTACTAGAAGCATTTATTCTTTCTTCTATTTAAACCCAAACAAAGGGGCTCACGTACTCCTCCCTGCCCTTCAGCAAAACATCCTTCCCTTCCGCTTTTCTGTGCCCGGCCGGGTCTCCTCCTCCAGCCCAGTAATTGGTGATTCTGGGACAGAGGGGGCTGGTGCGGGAGAGGCTGAGTGTGGCCCGTGCCCCTGGAGTGCACTGCCCCCTTGAGGTTCGGCCTTGCCCAAGCTGGCTGCTCGGGCCCCTCTCTCCGCAGGTCTCCCACCTTGAGCTCTGCTGCCCTGGAAAGTTGCTTTATCTGCACCAACTGATCTAATAACATTCAGGCTCTTCCCAAGCCCCCATCCCCCAGTGATTTGACAGCACGAGCTCCTAGAATTTAAAAAAAAAAAAAAAAAGAGCACATAATTTGTGGCAAGTGGAGTTCATAATCTGTTAATTTATTATCGTTTCTGTCGACCTGGAGGGCCATTAGCAGAGGTAATAAAGGGAGATGTAATTATAGGATCTGAGGCCACTCCAGACACAGCTGCTGTCACTCGGCAGCCCATATTTCATCGGCCGCTGGTGTTCTTCTCTCCCCAGCGTGAGCCAGACGGTGGCTACCTGGGAGCAGGGCTGCTGAGGGACCCTCCTTGAAGAGGCGTCTGGGGGGTCCCCTGCAGAGGCCGGGCTCATGTCAGCCTGGGCTGGGCAGGGCCGGCGATGACTCCCATGGGCTGGCCGGAGGAGGCTCTCCTGGCTGGGGCAGACTGCAGGCTGCCCGAGTGGGAGGATAACGGGCTAATAACATCTGGAGGCTGCAATCCATCAAGTGACCCCCACTGCCTCTTGTTTTAATCTCTTGCTCACTGGGAACAAGAGGTAGGCACGCTCAAGACATGGGCGCGTCCTCTGGGCAAGCCAATCCTTGGAAAATCAACTCAAGGTAAAAACCTGCATTTGGGGTAGGGCAACTTCAGGCGACTCAAACAAAGGAGTGGCTGCTATTCTGAGGAAACCACAGTCGGCCCCAAGTTCCCCCATGGAACTCACCCTGTGAAAGCGTGTGTTCAAAATACAGGTAAAAGGCAGAGGTTGCTGGGAATGAGTTTGTGCTCCAATGATCCTTCCTTCTGGCCAATATGGTCGCTCAGGGACCGCACGAATACGTCACGTGTCGCAGCATGAAAACTTGTGTTCACAGCATCTAACGCCCTTCTGGACTTTTCCTCCATGGCACTGCCCATCAGTCCCGAAGGCCTAACTCTGGTTCTGCTCTCTCCCCTCGCAGCCACGGCATCCCTCCTGCCTCTGAACTGCGCCCTGTGGCTCTTCTCGCTGCATCCTAGGTATCTGCCTTATCACATATGAACAACGGGAGGTGGGAAGTTGGTGGGTAGATATGAAACCAGACTGGCCGTGGGTGGTAGCTGCTGAAGCAGGGTAATGGATACACGGAGGTTCATCATACTATTTGGTCTACCTTGGTTTGAAATTTTCCAGAAAAAAGTTTTTTTTTTTTTTAATTATTCATCTTATTCCCAAATGAGATCCTTGGGGCAGAAATTAATCTAATTCTTTGTATCAGCCACAACTCCTAGCAAGAGACCTTACATACAGTGAATGCTCAATAAATGCATGCACAGGCAAGTATGAAGCACCGTCTGTGTGCCAGGTTCTGGACTAGAGGCTGGAGGAGGATGCTGAGGCATGAGATGCGGTTTCCTGTGCATAAGGACAGCAGCTTAGGCTCCTCTCCAGAGCTCTAACTTGAGCGCTGTTAAGGAGCCGGTCCTCTGTCTGTCCAGGAACCAGCACAGGAGCTGACACAAGTCCCAGGGTGGGGCCCTGGCTTGCATGCTCCCTTTTCAACCTCTCTCTCTTTCTCTAAGGGCTAGTGAGCAGGTCTTCAGAGGCGTTTTCCATCTAATCTGAGATGGGATTAAGTCGATTAGTTTAAATATATCAGACACTTGATGTGTCATCACCCTTAATAGGAGGTTTACATGCAGTGGCAGGAGACTTTATTAATTAATTTTACCTTAAACACTAGAAGGTCAGCCCCAAATAATTCAGCATGCAGATTTATGCAAAATAGGCAAATTAGCGTTTGAGACAGACAAATGAGCCCCTATGTTTATTTTATTTTTTAATCAAAAAGAATTCAGCTTTGGACAAGGAAAAATGATGATGTGAAGGGAGGCTTTTAATACTATTAGGAACAACGACAACCATGGTCACAGTCTCCACCATTTATCAAACACACACTTTGTGTGGGGGCTGGGCTAAGCGAGTCATATCCTCTGGCATCCGGGGGAGGGGGCCCTATGATTCCCATTTCACAGGCGAGGACACTGAAGCTCAGAAAAATGAAACATCTTGCACAAGGCCAGTCAAGACAGAGCCTAGATCTGTCTGAATCCAAAGTCTGTGCCCTTAACAACCATCAGCTCTGCCCACTGCCCTCTTGGTTGGGCACAGACAGCAGATGGAGCTGGGAGGTGGGAAGGCATGGAGAGAAATGGGTGCAGGGGAGACAGTGCCTTCTGGTTCCATACCCCCTTGAAGGTATCAAGGGGATGGGGTGGTAGGAGAAGGAAGCAGTGACCCAGGGGACCGCCAGGAGCCACTCCTGAGCCACTGCTAGGATGCAGTCTATCCACCAGGAAGAGAAGCGTGTGATGGGAGCGGGGGCAGGGTGTGAGGGACAAGGTGAGCTGTGCCCGATTTGGCCCTGGGTTAGTGGAGCAATCCAGGCTGAGGTGTCTTAAGCAGTGGCCTGACCCCACATCTGTGCTGAACCAGCACAGGGCAGATTCAAAAACTACTGAGTGTGTAATCCCGAGAGGCTGAGCTCCTTAGTAAGGGCGCTCCAGCCCAGATCCCGGTGAGCCCACCCCTGAGGCAGAATGCCAGGGCCACCAGGGAGGCCCTGTGGAAGGAATTCCAGCTGTCCTGCCAGCTAAGGGATACCAGCACCAGCTCCCAGCCCTTGTCCCCGGGAAGGTTCCTTCTGTAAGGTGTGCACACAACGTCTTATGTAAGGGCCTTCTGACTTATCCCAATCAACTGTGGGCCTTGGCATCTAAAGTCCAGGACACCTGTGCTACATAACCACGCACACCGTGTACATCTTTCAGAGCCGGTGACAAACACAGAAAGGATCTACAGACAGGAAGATAAACCGCCCCATGTCACTGAGCTAGCAAGAATCCAAGTCCATGGTGGACCACTGCCAGAGGAGAACAGGATGTCTCCACCACACTACGAGCCAAGCTGTTAGACCTTCAAGGAATAAACTGCACACACTTTAGAAAGCGCCCCATCGTGTGTGTCATGCAGAATATGTGGGTGTCGGTGTCTACAAAAATAAAACTAAAAATCAGCTCCCACCGTGTATCCAGAAGGAGAAAAGCTGAAAGAGGGGCTGCGGGCCACATGCAACGAAGACAAGTCCATACCGCCTGAAACACGTTCATTACACATCATGCTAGAAATGATCTTAAAAATTATAGAATCCAACATGAAAAGATGTTCAACATCACTACTCATCAGGGAAATGCAAATCAAAACCACACTAAGATATCACCTGACACCCGTAAGAATGGCTATCATCACCAAGACAAAAAGCAACGAATGCTAGAGAGGCTGTGGAGAAATGGGAACCCTAATCCACTGCTGGTGGGAATGCAAACTGGTGCAGCCTCTAT